GGCTGGGGCCAGAGAAGCTGGGGGTTGTCATGGCAAAAGCTCTCACAGTCCTCTGCCAAATTCCTGGTCTTTTCCATGCTTCCTTGGGATTGAAGGCCTTCTCCAAGTCCGAGGCCTCTCTTAAGCAGAAGCCTTGGGGCTCTGCAGCACTTCCCAGGAACCATGGGGAAAGGTCTCTGGAGAGACTTGCTGGGGGGCTGTCGAGGAGATGGTTGAACTCCAGAACCTTTTGTAGCTAGGTGTAAGTCACCAGTAGGTAGTTCAAGGCATTTCTCTTCAGTTCCTGCACAGAAGCACTGGGGCCCCCACTGACAAGGGATCAGCTGCAGACCTAGAAACCTGAACTTAGCTGTGTCTGTCTACTGGGGCCTGGAGACAACGGACCTTTCTGTGGTCATTTTACTCTGGGGCAGTCTCTAGTTCTCCTTTCTACCCATTTCTTTCCATTCCTTCCTCCTCTTCTTGTTTGGGTTCCTTCCTTCCCTCCTTCCTCCACCCCTCCAGCCCCCTCTCCTTTCCTTTCCTCCTCAAAAAGTGAAAACCATTCACAAGACCATCACAGGATAACTTCCTCTACTCACTGGGATTAAGAAGCCATGCTGTGTCTTTTGTCTCTTCTCTTACAAATCTTTTCTCTTTATAAAAAGAAATAGGATTTCAGTTTAACCAGATAAACCATTTAACAGTTTGTTTCCTTCTCTTAAGGCCTTTCTCCCTGCCCAAGCTCACCTTCATCACCATCACACTTGCACACGGACTGCAAACACTAGTGGTTCCATTAAGTTTTTAAGTAAATTGTTTCATATGTGTCTATCAGAATGTAATTTTGATGCTTTTCAAACTTTGCATGGAGAGCTCTTTCTGCATGTATATGTATATGTGTATATATATATATATATATATATATATATATATATATATATATATATATATATATATACTTGATCCAGTTCAATTACATATTTGGTATATTTTACTTTTTAAAGTTCCTGCTATCTCTATGGGTGCATATGTTCTGACTCTATCGTGATATCCTCTTGGTTGTCTTCAAACTCCTCCTCTTCTTGGATAAAGTCTCCCTATATAACCCACGGCAGTTTTGAAGTGGAAACTCTTCCACCCCCCCTCCTGAAAGCTGGAATCCCAGGAAAGCAACAGCAGGCCCACATGAGCATTCCTGCATCTGCTCTCTTATACTTATGTGTGAGAATTTCTCTTGGGTGATCCCTACAAGTAGAATCACTGGACGTCAAATGGTACCAGTTTATAATTCTGCAGGACGAGGGCACTGTGCCCTTCGGAGTGGTTACTCCAGGTCATTCCCTTCCCCACAGTGTAAGGGAATTCCCCGTGTCATTAGCAAGGAGTCAGGGTCCGATCTGTCGGCCTGGTGGGGACCGAGAGATATGACAGTGTTGCTTTATTTGTGTGTTTCAGAATCCTAAAGGGTGAGCAGCTTCCCATGGGGCCCCTGGCCACTCTGGTTTTCTTCTGTGGACTGCCTGTTAGCCTCACTGGCTCCCCTTCCGCTTATGATTTCTCACTTGGTGGTGACTAAGCAGAATTCTTTTTCTTTTTCTCTTTTCCAGATTTATTTATTCGTATTTCATATGTATGAGTGTTTTGCCTGCATGTATTTCTGTGCACCATGTGCGTGCCTAATGCTCATGGAGGCCAGAAGAGGGCACTAGTTGCTCCAGAACTGGAGTTACAGTCAGTTGTAGGCCAGGATGTGGGTGCTGGGAACTGAGCCTGGTCCTCTGCAAGAACAGCCAGTGCTCTTAGCTACAGAGCCATCTCCTGAGGCCTAAGCAGAATTTCTTAGGGGTAGACAACATTAGTACTTATAGCTAGCAGCTGGGTTGTGGACTTCTCTTCTTAGATAAGAACCAGGAGTAACCTTAGCATCGGCTGCTGGGGGAGCTTTGCCCACCCAGGACACAGTTCCTTTGACCACAGCCATGTACCCAGCATTCCTTTCTTCACACTCTATGGCCATTTTTATAACATCGTATGGCCTTTTGAGTGGTTTTCAGAAAAGTTGATCCGGTATTAGATTCAAGAATAATCATACTTTGCTGTGTTTGCTGCTGCTTACTTTTTCATGAATGGTGTATATTTATCATTGACAGAATTGGTCTTCTTGTTTTCTTGAGAATTTGCAACCCAAAAACTTAAAAATAAAAATTTGATTCTTCTAACAAGCCCATGTTTTTTGTTTTGCTTTGTTTCATTTTGTTTGTTTTGTTTTGTTTGAGACAGGGTCTCACTATGTAGCTCTAACTGTCCTGGAACTCATTATGCAGACCAGACTGGTCTCAAACTTACAGAGATCTACCTGCCTCTGCTTCTCAAGTACTGGGACTGAAGGTGTATGCCACCACGCCCGGCCAAGTCGATGCTTTTTTAACCTTAATTCTTCACCTCGTTGGCATCTTGTCTTTGTGCTCATTGTGATTTATTGAGCACAACCAGGTCATGTATAATCTAAGTACCGGGTTTAAATGAAATAAATATTTCACAATGACACAAACAACTAAAAGAAAGATTGAAGTAAAGATAAATGTTTTTGCCATGGATGTTACTCCACCCAGCGTGTCAGGGGGAATGCAGTGATGATCCTTATAGAAAGAAAAGCAAAATATAGAGGGTTTCAGGAGGATGATGGGCTCCGTGCTAGCTTGGGTACACTGGAAGGTGGGCTTGTCCGATGCCCCAATGCCAAATCCAAAGAAGCCTGCCCACCGAGCCTTTTTTTCCTGCTGCTGTGGCATAAAGAAAATGCTAAAAATACTTAGCACTCTGGAATCCAGGTCTTAGTGTAGCACACTGAGAAGAATGAGGTCACTGTGGTCTTACTGAAAATGTTAGTGCAATGAAATTCTTGGAAAAACGTCTCTAAAATGTGATGATTTTGAAACATTTCATAAAAACTTGATGTCAAAAACTGAGCATTCAGTTCAAGTCTTAAAATATTTCCTTTTTCTACGGAGGAGGACGGGATCACCATTAGGGACTTCACTTCCATCTTGTCTTGTGTCCTGTGAAGGGCTGGTCTTGGCTTAGGAATCTGAGAGTTTGAGAAGTGGTTGACTTTCTGTTTTGGAGGCTGGGTTTTTGATGTAGTGTTAGTGTGGCTCCTTTTAAAATGATTTTGGTATTGGTGTAGTTTATATAGTGAGCCATTCAATTTCAATTTTAATGTACTCTAATTCTGTTTTCCCCTTTCTTCTTCTTATAGATTGTGTGTGTGTGTGTGTGTGTGTGTGTGTGTCTGAGTGTGTATATGTGTGTGTGTGTATCTGCGTGTGGTCTATCTGTACATCTGTGTGAGGGCATACTTACTTCAGCTACACCCATCCATCTATCCATCCACCCATCATCCATTCACCCATTCATTATCTATCCATCATTCATCTCTCATCCATTCATCTATTATCTGTCCATTGTCTATCTATCTATCATCGCTCCATCCTGTGTGTAATACCTATTTTGTTTAAGGGGCTAACCTAGGAACTGTGGTGCTTATTAAGAATTATGGAAACAATTCTGTTTTCAAAGAGATCGTGACCTAAGAATGTAGAGATGGGTTCTTAAACAGTGTCATACAAAGCAGAGCACAAACCCTCCAGAACGGTAGTTTTGATAGCTGTATGTTTGTTCTATTGGTGACTTTATTGATTGCACATGACAAATTCAGATCAAACCAGTTAGTAATATCTAGCTTCAGAAATGGCTAGATTCAAAGACCCAAGTAGTATTTTGAGGACACTGTCCCTTTTTATGTCTAATTAGCTCTCTTCTTGTTGACTTCATTCTTGGATGGCCTCTTTCTTGTGGTAAAAACTTTATCTGTTGGAAGCCCAAGGCTTGTGTTATTCTCCAGCTATGGTTCTAGAGAATGGGAAAAACCCAGCACCTCTCTCCCAGGATTCATAGTGTTAAATCTTAAAGAAGAGTTTTACTGGTCTCACTGAGGTCACATGCACATCTCTCAGCCAATCATCATGGCCAAGGGACCATTATTCTTTGTCACTAGCCAGAGTCCTTAGTTAACTCCTATATTAAGAACGCTTGGGGACTGGGAAGGAAAGACAGTTACTTACAGAGACTTCACGAGGGCCACCTGGAGCTTGTGGAATGTGGTTCCTCAAAGGAAATATTGGAATTGCTGCTGACAAATGCAGAAGGGGGGAATGCTGGCCAAGAAAAGAACAGGAGGGAGAAGGAGCAGAAATGCGCTTCATGTTTTAGAAGATAAAAGGAGGAAGCGACTGGGTCTCCTGGGATGTGCAGAAACGTGTGACTTTTCTTACACTCCAGGACACATTTTCACCTGTGTATAGTGGCGGTACCTTTAAAAGGTTGCCTTCACTGGAAAGAAAGGGCTGGGGGTGGATCTAGGGATGGATGGAGGAATGGGGGCAATATGAACAAAATAAATTGTACTAAATTCTCAAAGAGCCAATGATAACAAAAGAAGTCCCTTCTGTGGTGCAAAAGGGACTCATTGGACATCTTGGTAAAGTTGCAAAGAAGTTACCCATCACTGTTTTGGTGGAAGGTCTACCTCAGACCCTCCCCTTCTGTCCCCCTGGCATCTGTATACCCAAAGAGCCTGGAATGTTCTGGTGGAAGCCCCACTTCAATCCCCCTCCCCCATCTCTTTCTCCCCAAACCCTGCCTCATCTCAGAAAGCCTGCCAAACACGGCTCCTCCCCCAGAGATGCTCAAGACCACTCCCACGGGATATTTAAACTGCCCCTCAGAAAACAGACATATGAATTTTTGGTCTCTCTTCCCCGTCTCCTCTCTGGGGGGCTGGGAAATCATCCAGGAGCGTTTTACCCCTTAAACCTGGGCTTTTTCTAATTCAGTTTAATTTGGTCTGATTTGGATTGCTGTGTTTGAGAGGCTTATGGGGTGCAGAAACCTTTCACTCATTCTGTGTTATCACCTGCATTCGGAGTCACCCACATTTCCTTTCTGCTTTGTTACAGTTTCATTGCAAATCAGAAAAGGTTAGAAATCATCAATGAAGATGATGTTGAAGCTTATGTGGGACTGAAAAACCTGTGAGTACTCACCATTTACGTATGTTACCTTAGAGACTTCCTGTGTTCTGCTGTGGTCGGGTAGGTAACTTGCTGGTTAGTTCTAATGTAAGTGCCGTTATGTGTTTTCTGTAGGACAATTGTGGATTCCGGATTAAAATTTGTGGCTTACAAAGCATTTCTGAAAAACAGCAACCTGCAGCACATGTGAGTAGAGAGTGATCTGCCTGATTTATTCAGTATTTTCTCACTCTTGTTTATTTTCTTCCTTTGCCAGTGCTAACCTTCACTTTGGTAGTTAGTGTAGCTATGATAACAGCTTAGGAGCTTTAGCTTTGATTCTGATTGATTTCGGAATGGCTTTGGGGTGCTTAGAACAGCCTGTTCATTCCCTTTTGTGAATTTCTGGGCCATTTCCATCTTGGACAGAGCACTGGGCCAATGGCAAGGACTCTGATGTGAAAACGATGTCCTTGTACAGAGGTCTTGATTCTTTTCCTTGGAATAAGACACACTCCCTGCAAGACATCAAGCTAAGTAATCAAGACGCTGACTTGGCCTTGGATGGCTTAAGGAAATAAAAATTACTAATGTTTTTTCTCTTATAATAGGACCATTTGAGCTTTCATTTTCTCAATAGCATGTGCCATGGATTGATAAAAATAGAGGAAAAAAATCAATCACTGGATATGATAAGGTTCAGATGACTCTTAATAGTAGGAATTGCTTTCCTCCACGTCATATCGGCATTTTGTTGACTCAGGTCAATTGGAAATGCAGGAAATAAGAGTTATTATATGGTTTTCTGTTAAGTCCCTTTAATGATACCAGTTAAGTCAATAAATTATGGGCTTCCTGAGATATCCTACTAAACAGATCACCCAAAAGACAAACACGCCCATGGTCCTTCCCCAAACTCAGATTCCCTCACACTGAGTTCTACATGGAGTAGATCTTCTGCTGGAGGGTTGTCATCTGAGTTCTTGCTGACCAAATTCTCTTTGCAATAACTTGAGCATTTCACAGTTTGCGGTTTACCTGCTGGGTCTCACCTAAACATTTCAGTTGCGTAGAATGATGTCTGTATTCCCAGTTGGAGGGAGCTGTGGGACTTATCAGGTGGCCAACTCTTCACTGTGTTCTTAAAACAGGAATAAAGGAGATAAAATTTCTGCCATCACTATCATCCTATAACATCTGTCCCTTTCCCCTCCCTGGGGAAAACAATTCTCGGCCTGATTTCTATGCTGGTTATTAAAGAATTCATTGTCTTAGAGAGACTGCCTGGATGCCCTATGGAGATGTGTTGATATTACTGAAGGCCTTAATTTCATAAAGTCATTATCATGAGTTCATATTTTATATGTGACAGGAATAATGAAGTCACTTTCTAAGATAGAAAACATTCTGCAAAAACAGAATAAAACTCTGGGCACATTTTAAAAACACATTTTCTTTAAACGCTTCTTGACAGCCTGTCTGGATTGGTTTGCTGGGGCAAACCTGATGTATTGGTGGCCCTTGGTGGCACAGACCTGAGAGCAGGATAAGAATTGGAAAATGTCCCGCTGCAATCTCTCAGAAGTAATTAATGACCTTAATAGTTAAGTTTTTGAATTTTCATTACAGATGACCTTAGACCCAAATCGCTCAGCAGTTGCATTGTGTGCTGATTCCTCAGGGGATTGATGCTCCCATTATAATATGAACAGTGGGCCATGGCTAATTGAAATTCTATTGATAGCCCTTGTGTGTTTTTTGTGTTGCTATGTGATAGGATAATTCTAATGGTGTTCTAGCTTGCACATCCATAAAGTCACATATCTGGTCCTGCCTCTTAATGTGGTCTTATTTAAGATAAAACACTAAAGAGGAATAGATATTCTATACAGCTTTCTTACCAGACAACAAGCAGGAGCCAATAATTGATCAATCTTCAAAAACTCTATTGATTTGTGTAGTTATTGTCAAGCAGCATGACACAATGAAATTACGCAAGCATTCAAGCATTCACAAAGAGTAGTGAGAAGCCAGTGAGCTTCATGCTTCCACATGGAGAAAGGGGCTGTTCCTAGTCACAGAATGAAGCTGAGTCAGGTAGCCTGCCTTGGCGGGTGGTAGGGATGGAAGGGAGAGTCGGTTCTAGCATCTGCCTTCTGTCCCAGCCTCTGCTTGGGACTGAGGACCCTGGGGACCAGCTTGTTTTCCCTGGATGTTCCGAATGCAAATTGCACTGACCTCAGTTATCAACACAGTGAGGTGCAAGTGGTTAAGGAAGCGATGTGTGCTGAAAGCTCTCCAGCCCCAGGCTGACCTGACGACCCCTGAGCTCCCCTACCTATACAGAGATGTGGGAAAGATGCAACTCTTGCACTTTGGGCTTTAGGGAACTTCGGAGGGGAACCCTGGCTCACCTTCCTCAGCTTGCCTGGTCCATGTTACCCTCACACAGTGGCCATCCAGAGCTCGTCTTTGAATGTATGTCTAGGTGCCTTTAATTGCTGCCCAGACCCTAAAGCCCCAGGGACTGTGAGAAAAGCCAGCCTGTGTGTTTTCCAGGGGCTTTGCCGAGGTGCTAATTATGCTCTTAACAAAGTTTTACAATCAAACAGTGAGAGGATTGTTGATTTCTTTCTTCCTTCTTCCTCCTTTTTGGCTTTTGGCCCCGTTCCTAAGTATGCTTCATAAAACTCATCTTGTTCTCTGGCTGGTCACCCTGCCGCTGTGCTGTGCTGTTGGCAACCCAACAGAGCCCTGGCTTCCAGGGAGGGCCGGCCGCAGGGAGCTGGCTGGGGGCTGCTGCTCCACAGGGCAGCATGGAGCTGACAGGGCCTCTTCTCCATGCCTCCCCTTGCCTCCCCTCTCTCCTGGTCTCTGCCTCTTTTTCTCTTCCTTTCCTCCCCACCTCCATTCCCACCTCCCCTCCCCTTCTTCCCTCCTCTCTGTTTTTATTTATCTTGGGAGAGAAGAACATATTTTTTTCTTTTTTCATTTTTTTCTGAAGGATTGGGATTTGTGATGAATATGAGCCTATCTGAGCCTTAAAGACAGGCATAGACTTTTTGATGTGATGTGCTCCACTGGAGCCCTTCTTAGTTCATGTTCCAGAGGAAAAGACTTACATGGGCATGTCTCACAACTTCCTGGTGGGTTATTCTTTCACGTGGGATACCATTGCCTGGGGGTAAGCACGCTGCACTAGTGTGAACAGAAAAGATACAAGCTGAGAAGGCAGGAGAGCATCTGGCTGTCAGTCAGGGTTCAGGTGGGTGGAAATCTGTGTGAAGGAGGTTCACTGGATGGACGTATCCATTCTTGAGTTATGAGAAGCCACATTTTTTCCCCGTTCACCAGATGACTGGTACTAGCTCATGATTTAGCTCTTTAGTCACTCTGAAGGTGACTCTTCACACAGACCAGAACACTGGACTGATACCGCATACTGGCCTCAGGTACAGGTCAGGGCCAGGATTACCGTCACTGTTAGACATTATAGCTCCTTAACTTTAAGTAAAATTTTAACAGTAAACAAACTCAGCTACCTGGATAATGGCCGGAAATTTCCCATCCCAATGATCATGGCACAGATCACTTGGAATGCGCATCCACCTGACCGGGAAATTCTTAGGTTTTGTTGTTGTTGTTGTTTTTCACCATGGATAGCGCATCTTTCCATTGGTTTATGTAACTCTGAAGATGCCGTGTTTCTGGGAGTTCAAGATAAAGCCTGACACCCTGCTCCCCAATTTTCATCTTGTTTTCTTCATGGAGTTACTCACTCTTGAGGCCCTACGTAACTGGTCTCATCAGGACAGTTTCAGTCAGCAGGTGTGTTCTTTCCCGAAAAGATAGTTTAAATTCTATGTCTATTCCAAGTTTTGTTTGTCACGTAACTCAAAATGTTTAAGAGGCTTTTTAGTGGTAAAGCTTTCTTGTTCTCATGAGCTTATGATGTTATATTTTATTATATGTTCCCCAATTAAATGTTCAAAACGTCAGGATCTCCACTAGGCATAGAGCTGGGCTTCCAATCAACATGTGAAATGTAAGCTTTTGGGTGAAACAAAGATATCAAAAATTAACTCTATGAAGCACAGACTCTTCTTTCATAGCTCGTGGAAACCGTAAAAGTCAAGGAACCCCGGAAGTTATCTTTCCAGGTAAAAGACATGACCGAGTCTAATTAACATGTGTACCCCAATCCAAGAAAATTACATTTTGAAAACAAAATCTTTATTTGAACACATCATTTTAAAACCATAGCCTTTTAAATTCACACTTAATGTATCTGATTTCTTTCAGTAATTTCACACGAAACAAGCTGACGAGTTTGTCTAGGAAGCATTTCCGCCACCTTGACTTGTCTGAGCTGTAAGTAATGATTTTGTTTGGCATTTGTGAGGAAATTTTCAAAAGAAAGGATAATTAAGTATTTTTTTTAAATGAGTACCATTGCAAGTTTATGTTGCATCAAAGTTCTTGAAAAATGATTTCTTTAGTCTTGTCCCAACTGGGTGATTAAAATCCCAATCTCAATGATATGTCATTATGCTCAGTTGATGTTGTTTTTACAAAAATAATTTATTTTCTAATAGAAGGAAAAGAGAAAAACCATCAGGGAGTTTCGTGCTAAAGTGGCTTTCTAGTTCATCTCATCTGGCTCCTGCTTTATCCAAGCGCCCAAATAAAGCAAGTTCATCAAAGAGGAAATTACAGTGGATCAAATCCTTCCAGCTTTGTCTGTCAGCCTCAGCCCAGTGTAGGCCTGGGTGTAGCCAACCATGGAGGGGAGGTTTTTCCCCACCCCGACCCTCTCTTGAGCTCTTCTTTTTGGTTCACCACTATGCTCATTATTTATCCTTATGTCCCAGTTTCCTCTTCTGTGAAATGGTAGGAGAAACATTGAGATGTGTTGCTGACCAACAGCTAATATCTCTGTTGGTGCTCAGTTCTTGGTGTAATCACCACAAGGCAAACATGAACAGCCGCCATTGCTGTGAGGAGGTGCTTGAGGGATCCCCAAGGCAGGCATGGGGCTGGAAGGACAGGCCTTGGAGGTTAGGAAGAAACATTAATATAAACCACTTAAAAACATCTGTTCTCAGTGTTTATTTTCTTCTCTGGGAAAGTCAGGAATGTGGGGTGGGGCAGAAGTCATCACACATCAAAAGCCGAAGGGTGACTTGAGGGTTCTTAGTGAAGCTTCACAGTTCAGAGCAGAGGAAGTGGGTTCTAGGGCCACTGCCCAGTCTGCTCCCAGACACCGAGAGGTGGGCCTGGGCATGGGCCCTGTTCCCGTCTGGGGTGGTTCCTGTCCCCTCCTTGCTGTTACTCCAGACACTGATGGGGCTAAGAGGTGGCTTGGGCTCTGAGTAGCAGGATGAAGTCCCCTAGAGAAGGAGCCATAATGGAAATGTGAGGTTGCCCATGAGCATGTGAGCCAGGTATATCAAGGTCGGCATGTGCACATCTGAGTGCTGGCTGCCCCAAGCGGGGAGCCCCTTGCTGCTTCCATAGAGGCAGTCTGGGAACAACTCACATGGGGTTGATCAATTTTTTCCTTCAACCAATAGGAAACCATCCTGACAGAAATAGCTATGCCCAGCAGAGCTGGAAGGCAGGTCTGATTTCTGAGGTATAGTGTATGTTGGGGGGGTTGGGGGAGTGGGGGTGGAGCAGGGACAGTGGAGGGAGGTTAGGACTTTGGTCTAGCAGACTGGAGAAGAGACTAGGGGGTGATGGCATGGTCCATGGTCCTCAGATTAACGCCAGAAGAAGGAGTGCCCATTGGATTAGGTGCTCAAGATGAGACACACACAGCATCTTCCTATAAAGAGGGTCCTTTGCTATGCTCAAGCACGTCATGCAGACAGGAGGCTTCCCCTAGTGGAGAGGTCACAACTGTACAAGCAGGAAGGGGCTATGTGATGAAGGTCTTGACAACTGGCAATTATTTGGAATAAACTGAACTTCAGGGAGTTGAAGCACTAGTGTTTATTTCCTTAAGTTATTTTAAGTTGATACTAGTTATATATTTCTTTGGGGTACAGTATATTTGACATTTGCATGTAGTATATAAGAATATATACATATCTTATACACTGGTATACTGATTATATGTATATTATATATAAAATTTCAAATATTCAATGCTCAAAATACTTTCTTCTACATCTTTTGCAGTATAAATTACTGTTTAACATAGTAAGCCTACTATACTGTAGAGTGCTATGACAGTCTCCATCACCCTTCCCACTACTCTTCCCAGCTTCTAGTAACTACTACCTACACCTTACACCTATGAGACCAGGTTAATTGGCTCCACATGTGAGAGGGGCCATGTGTCGTGTGCCTTTTTGTTCTTTTGGCATTTCTAACACAGGAAGAGATTTGACACCTCAAAGGCAGACATGTGGCACAGAGCAAGGTGCTCCATGTAAAGGTGTTGGGTGCCACTGCATAAAATCTCCTGGATGAATTAAAAATTAGAGTTCTTCTTTTCAGTTCATGTTTCAAAATCCTACCAGTAGCATTGCTCAGCAACTCATTCAACAGGTGCTAACTATGTGGGGGTTACCTGCCAGATTGAAGGAGAGAAAGTTGTGTCTAGGATTCCATCCTAGGAGAGGTGGGTGCCTAAGCAAACCAGTGCTGTGTGGCCATGTGTACATCCTGGGTTCATAAATGAAGCATCCTTTCCATTTTTTTCCCCACTCAGCTTATTTGATTACAGCCTGATTTTAGAAAGACTTTGGCTATTTATGTACTCAGAACTCTAGGAAATAGCTTGGGTGACTTGAGTTTGAGCCAATGGAGGGTCTTTTCCACCTCCTATTCCATGTGTCATATCATCAAATCCTATTTTGATATTTGTGGGATACTTGGAGATGAGCAAGCAGATACAAATTAAACCAGTCTACCATGACCACATTTCCCCTCAAGAAACTCACAGAAAAGTCTCCTGGGACCTCTGAGATTCTTAGAACACAATCAGAAAACCACAGGAGTAAACGATGCTGCAAAGCCAGGTCCTGTCCTCAGGAAATCTTAAGTATTGTGGTTAGCGCCAGGCAGAGTCTATGTAACGATTGAAAATGGCCTCATTTAAAGGTTCATTATCATAAATGGAATTCATCTTAAATAGGCCACTGAGCATTATAAATAGCATTAAAGATTTTTTCCCTGTGGTTTTTGTTTTCCTCTTGACCACTTCCTCTTTCACCCACTGTAGTACTAGCATCCAGACAGCATGGCTGAGGTCTTTTTGCATACCCTCCTGCAGTAGACTGCACAGCTCAGCCTGGGGAGTCCAGCATATCATCCTCTGAAAGCCTCACTGGGTTGAGGATGGGCATATGTGTTCTCTATCTTCCTTCCATCCAGCTATGCCCTCAACTCTCTTGCCTGAATGAAAAGGACTCTGGTTGCATAACACAGAAAGGCAAGAAAGACAGCCTCCTGGGTCTTGCACCTCAGCCTTGGATCCCTATCTTTAATTTCATTTTAAATGGAGACACAATGGTCCTGCTCCCCCACTGAAGTGAGAACTCTTAAGTCTCTAACCTGGTCAGAAATAGGTGTATTAATGCTTCTAAAATATTATCACTGACATCTTCATTTAAGTACAAGAACAGCACCTTCCCCTATCATGAGATGCTCTCTGTCGTAGCTGTGTTTGTTCAGATCTGTTTTCCTACACGTTCTGCAAAGTTTCGCATCTCTTTGCTCTCTTTAGCCTCTACAGTTTTGTTTGCACATAACAGCAGCAAGTAGTTATTAGATAATGGAGTGAATAATAAGTACTGTCACGCCGTGAACGTCGGTATGACTTTCAAAGGTTGACAGCTAAGAAGCCTTCCTCCTGTAGTTGTTCATAAATGCTAGTGAAGCTGAAATTTGAGTGGGAGCCTGATCAGGTTGCACTTCTGTTCCATGTAGGATCCTGGTGGGCAATCCATTCACATGTTCCTGTGACATTATGTGGATCAAGACTCTCCAAGAGACTAAATCCAGCCCAGACACTCAGGATTTGTACTGCCTCAATGAAAGCAGCAAGAACACCCCCCTGGCAAACCTGCAGATACCCAATTGTGGTAATTTATTTTTAAATCAATGGGTTCTAGTTGCTATTAATTATTCTAATTGCCTTGGTATGGTAGCGAGTCTGGGAAGAAAACCACTACCCAGACTTCACAGAGTGTGTTGTGGATGTCTCTGGTGAATCAGACATTTATGTGCAGTGTGGAGAAGCCAGTCTGGAGCACCTTCAGTGACTATTCTTTCCAAGTAGAACATCACTTCTGAATGGCTGACATTGAAGAACTTGGAGAAAAAGTAGACTGTTAATTCCCTTGTTGATTTGTCTGTCAGTCCATCTACCATCCATCCATCCACCTACCCACTCTCCCAGAAAATATCCCAGGTCACATGCACACTTGATTGGCAAGTAGGTCATGCGGAGGGAAGGAACTCAGGATGCCGAGAGTCGAGCAGCTGAAGCAGACAGTCCAAACCTGCAGTCCCTCCGGCTTGCCTCGCTGCCCCACACTGGGGTCTCTTATGCTGTGGCCAGCTGTGCTTCCACCTGCTTGACCCTGTGTCTGGGCTCAGACTCTCTCCGGCCACCTCCCATTCCCCCAGCATTTCCATGTGGAGAGTTTAAAAGGACACCTTAGGACAAAACCCAGCTCTCAGTGGGAGCTAATGTCCCACAAGCAGGAAAATCAGAGTCATGGCTAGGATTTTATGATCCTGTGACTTATTTCTATAATACCTATGTGTGAGTGTTATTTCTTCATCAAAATTTTAATCAGTCCAACAGTTGGCAAGTTCACAAACAATTCTCTTTGCTCTTGCCTGGTGGCTGGTGACAAAGCAGGAAATTATGTAGCACCTGATTTGTGTCCACGGGCATGTGTGTTAACCGTTTACCTTCAGAAGGCCCTGTTTGAAGTCCCACTTTTATTAAGAACAGCACTGTTCTGTTTACTCTTGGTGAGGATTTAATAATGATAGTAAAACAATAAGTGACTCTGAAGGGCCTTAGAAGACATCACTCATCCGTCACACAGATTTCCATGTTGCAGGTGGAGTCTTCTGTTCTCATTGTGAGGGAATTGTGTTTTGTTCTCTTCCCAGCTCCCCTCGACCTTCCTTACCAGTCAACCTTAAAAAAAAAAACCAGCACACCAAATATCTCTTAGTGTGTATCTGTTCCCAACTGATAAGAGAGCTGAGAGACGCTGCCTAGAGGGACAAGAGAGTCACTGTTGAGTCACCTGGCCACTCGGCTGCTCACACCCAAATCCACATAGCTGTTTTGGCTTTCTGATCCAGGAAACATGGAAGAGAGGCCATGGGACACAGGCTCTTGTCCCATGAGCTGCCTCCAGATGGGTGTTTGCTTTGTCCTTGTCTGACACCAACTCTCTCTTATCAATCTTAAAACATGGCCGCCTGGTCCTGACATGGGTTCAGAGCTCACCCATCATTGGCATGGTTGACCATTGAGATATGAATAGAAGAAATGTTCAAAGTAAACAGACACTTATTTTTTCTTAGTCTACTTTTGATATTTTTCATTTCTTTTGTTTTTCTACACAATTCTTAATGAATTACGTGTTTGAGAGTAACGTTTTCACACACACCCCTCCCCCTTGCCAGGGAGCTGGGGTTGATTGATACACTAGGACTAAAAGGTTACATTTGTAATCCATTTCGGTGTTATCAGTGCTTGTTAAAGCAACATTTGGGGCTGTGTCAGTGAATTTGCATACTTAGTTGTCAGTCAATTTTCTGCAGAATTTATTTTGTACTTTCCTTATTCATTTGTGTTTTTCAAGGTATTTTTATTTATCTGAAATTGCAGAGGTAATTTTGCCATAAAAAGTATTTCCTGTACTCTATAAAAACACACTTTTTAAAATTTATAATCATTTTAAGTAAGTAGTGACAGACCCATTAGATTCTAACTATTGAGAGCATTTGTGGTCAAATGTATCTTAATTATACTAAGTGTTCCATACTGATGGCTACTTGGCTTATTTCCCATTTTAAAGAAATATTTTTATTTTTATTTATTTTTAATTAAAAATTTTTATTTGTATATATGTCTGTGCCTGAATATATATGCACCACAGGCATGCAGTACCCACAGGGGCCAGAAGAGGGCGTCTGATCCCCTGGAACTGAAATCACAGGTTATTGTGAGCTACCACATACATGTGTGTTGGGGACTGAACCCAGTCCTAAGAAGAGCAGCCAGTGCTCTTAACTGCTAAGCTACCTCTCCAGCCTCAGTTCTCATATTATTACTATCATAGTGTTCCCACAATCCTTCTTCATGCTCCTGTAAATGTTCTTCTAGAAGACATCACAGAGAGCTGAACTTTTATTTTATAAGATGTGTGTCATTAAAGTCTACTACACTCTTACCGCTCTAGCAAGTTACGTAGCCTGATATCAGCAAACTTCTTAGTTTATCTCTTAAAAGTGACTCCTGGCCTTTGTGCTTGTCTTTTCTTGATTATTAAGTACTCTTCAGTGTATAGTGAACTGTTTTATGACTTGGTGAATGCACCTCTTTCTATGCTTTCCTTAATTCTCTGTAGCATTTCCCCTTTTCTTTCATTTATTGTAATCTTTAGTTTCTGTTTTTTAATTGTTTTAAAGTTATAAAGTATACCTCTGGGTTTTTTTTGACAAAATAATAAATCCAAAACACTTGTTACATATATTTCTACATGCATTTTCTGCAAGTGTCTAGAGTTTATGATACTAAAAAGGAAAAAATACTTACATTTCTTCACCCATTTCTTAGTGTTTTATCATCTTACATTTTGATTTTATTTTTTTCTGTTTAAAAGAAAATGTTTACAAGCTACTGACTGATGATTGTATTGGGTTTCATGTATTGCCACTTATTAGAAGAAAGTGCTCACAATTATCAGAAGATACAAATGGCATGATTTCCTAGATCTGTAACAACAACAAAAGCATTAGGAGATAAATAATGTAATTTGAAAAATGTTTATAAAGGTGAATTAATAGGTAATTCAGCAATACATCGGAAAGGAAATAACCTATGGGTTTTTACTTAAGAAACTAGAATTATTTCTTTCCATACCATCATAGGTGTGTGTTCCTGTTGAAATGGCAGAGAAGAGACACCAAATACATTTATAACACTGAGACACACACGAGTAAACAGTTGGGGAGATGATAATGATGCTCAGTGGAAGTTTTTAAAGGTTTAAAAATGTATTTTAAGGTTTTCACTGGTGCATATTTATTGTACATGCTACTGGGCTACCTAAGGACATTTTCAATCAATTTATGATGTGCTTTAAGTGCATTCGCTCTGTACCCCCACGCTCCTTTTCAACCCTCCTGTCCTCTAGTATGTACCTTTTGTTTCCTTAAACAATTGTGTTTCTATATTTATGTCATATATGTGATTTTATGTATCTTTGCAAAATCCAGGACCTGTAAGTGAGAGAAAACATGAGATACTTGTCTTTCTGAGACTGGCTTGATTCACCTAACAGATTATTGGTCAGTTGATATGGATGACATAACTTCATTCTTCTGTGTGTCTGGAAAGCAGGCCATGCTGTCTTGATTCATTCCCGATCTGTGGGCACCTAGGTGTGTTCTGTAACATAACTATTGTGAGTAGAGCTGCAGTGAACATGGCTGAGCCGCAGCTGTGTCTGACTTGGAGTCCTTATGTGAATACCTAGGAGTGGTTGGGCTTGGTTATATGGTGGTTCTAATTTTTGATTTTCTGATGAGTCTTCACAGCTATTTCTACAGTGGTTGGACCACTTTACATCCCCTCTGTCAGTACCTGAGGGTTCCCTTTTGCTCATACCCTCAGCAGTATTTGTTAGTATGTGTTTTCTTAATGTCTATGATTCTTGCTGGGGCAAGGTAGAGATTTTTTAGTTTTCACTCATCTGATGGTGAGTGAGGTTGAACATTTTTTCATCCTACCACTTTGCTGGAAATACTTACCAGCTCTAAGAATTTTCTGATGAAGTTTTCAGTGTCTCATGTATCTTACATCTTCTAAAAATAGGGATATTTCAGCTCTTCCTTTCTCATTAGTATCTTCTCTATTTCCTTTTCTTGTCTTATTGCTTCAGCTAGTACTTCAAGCACAAATTAAGTAAGAAGAGATAATGAGCACTCTTACCGTGCTAATGAGAATGGTTCAGATTTCCCTCCATTTGGTTTGTTACATATAGCCTTTAGTGTGCTGGGATTTGTTTTTCCTATTCCTAGCTTCCTTGGGGCTTTTGTTATAAAGCCATGCTGGATTTTGTCAAAAGCTATTTCTGTGTCTATGATGATCATGAGATTTCTGTCCTTGAGTCTCTTTCTGTGATGTATTATGTTTACTGATTTGTAAATGTTGAACTATCCTTGTGCCATTGGAATGAAGTCAACTTGATCATGGTGAACGGTCTTTTTGGTGTGTACATGTTTTTGGTTTGCAAGTTTTCTCCTGATCATCCTTGCAACTATGATCATCAGAGAAATTACCATATAATTTTCTTTTTGTTGCTGTGTCTTTATTTGGTTTTGATATCAGTAATACTGTTTTCCTAAAAAGTATCTGTGAAAGGATGACCAGTCTTTTATTGAGAACAAGATAATCAAGTCCTCTAACCTCACTGTGTTGGGATCTGTCTGCCGTTACATCTAATAGTACTTGTTTTAACTGGGTGCACTATGTTCACTGGACTCGGTGTTTTGAATGGCAATATGTTCTTCATGGGTTAATTGTTCCCCATGTCAGTATGAACTGACCTTTGTATCTTATGACTGGTTTTGATTTGAATCAATTTGTCACATATCAGAACACTGACAGTTGCTTGTTTCTTAGTTCCATTTGCTTGAAATTCCTTTCCCAGCCTTTCACCCTAAAGTTGACCCCTTCTTTGATGAAGACATACACTCTTGGAGGCAACAACTAAAGAGGTCACTTTTCAGTTGAGTCTGTTGGACTGTGTCTTTTGATTGGGGTAATTGACACAATTGATATTTATAGTTATTGAAAGGTATGTATTGAATTCTGTCTTTTTTTTTT